TTTATAATAATTATTTCTTGAATCAATCAATATTTATCAATATTTTATTATAGTATTATATATATAAATATTTATTCTATTCAATAGAAAAATTGGAAAAAAAGGCTTGTAATCATTTATTTTGGTCGCCATCTGGTCAATTTATTGTTCTTGCTGGATTAACAACCATGGCAGGAGCTTTAGAATTCATTGATACTAATGATTTTACTATCATGAATTCAACTGATCATTATCAAACTTCAGATGTAGAATGGGATCCTACTGGACGGTAAATATTTATTTTAATATTTATGTTTAAAGTCTTTAATTATGATATTGTATGTATTTTAAGTATGCATTTCTTTATAGATACGTGGTAACAGCTGTTTCCAGTTGGAAAACTAGTGTGGATAATGGATATTGGATATGGACGTTCCAAGGACGTATATTAAAAAGAGTTAATCTTAATCAATTTAATCAGCTCTTATGGAGACCAAGACCACCAACATTATTAACATCAGAACAAATTAAAGAAATTAAGAAAAATTTGAAGAAGTACTCTGCGCAATTCGAAAGTAAAGATCGTATGCGATTAACTCGTGCTTCAAAGGTAGTTATATCATATTAATATATATTTATTATAAATTGTGCATTTACTATAAAATTATTTTTTAGGAATTAATTGAGAAACGCTGTGCAGCGATGAAAGCATTCGAAGAATATCGTTCAAAACGCATACAAGAATGGAATAATCAAAAGAAGAGACGTTTAGAATTACGTAATGGTTTGTAGAATAAATATTTTTTCTAAATTTAAAAGTATTTTACTTTTTTTTTTACATCGTTTGATTCTTTTTCAGGTATTGATACAGACGAATTAGATTCTGATTCCAAAAATGTAGAAGAAGAAGTAATAGAATTTTTCGTCAAGGAAGAAACATTTATCATCGACGAGAAATAAAACTTTGTGAAAGAAGGTTTTATCTCTGCCATTTTTGGAAATCTCTAGTGCAAAACCAATACAGTCATTTGTGAAAAGTGATATCAGAAGTAATTATCTTCCAGAGTCACATAAAATTGTGACTCTCCATAGTGAACTAAAATGACTATTTTAAGTGGTTATGAACAGTTTCTCTTATACTATTTCTGCATCTCAATTGGAATTGCTTCCACCTTTCCGACGTTGCGTATGAAACGTCGTAAACATAATACCATAAAGTTTTATCACGTTCCATACAGGATAGTATGTCATTCAACAAATAATTATTATCAGTATAAATATATACAATGTACTTTATTTATCAAACCCATATGGCATAATCTATTTAGTTTTATATATTTATAAATAGAAAAAATTAAATTTTTTTATTTATATCTTTTTACTAATTTTAAATGTGCTGTAAATGGTAAATGAACAAATTGTAAATTAATAATCTAAATCGTTATTCTTTTTTATAATTTTTATTTCATAAAGAAATTGGAAAATAATTAGCATGAATAAATATTCATATATAGATTTTATGACTTAGATTACAATAATCATTCCATGAATATAATATTAAAGAATAGATAAATATAAAATTAAAAATAGTATCGAAATAGAGCAACAATAGCACATACCCAAGTCGGAGGAATTCTTTCTTGTTCAAAAAATGTTTTATTCGTTACACGTGTCGCACATGAAAATAAGCGTTCATGCTCTTTTTGTAGTTCATGTTGTAAATTTTTATTTTTAGTTAAAATAGCAATTTGAGTTTCTAAATCTTTGTTAACTGATCTATAACCTAAAATCAATATTTTTTTTTTTTCATTTTTATTTTAAAATTAATTTGTCTTAAAATTTTAGATTTTACCAAAATTAGGAGATCCAATAAGAGTAAGACAGGGTTTTTCTTGATTTGGTAAGAAATACCAAAGTCCTTTGGCATGATAAGTCCACCCTGGTCTAATAAATTCCCATAAAGTTATTCTATTTTGTTGTCCTAATTTATTGCAATTTTTAATAAATGATTCCTCTAATTTCGTGTATGCTGCTGGGATACAACCAGCAATACCCTTTGCAGCTGTATGAATGTAACATATTATATTAACTATATTAATTAAAAAATTAAATAATTTTCATTTGTTTATTTTTAAAATATAAACTTACAGAAGAAACCATTAGTAGATGGATGTGCTGTTAAAAGATGACATGTTGCTTGGCAGTATTTAAGTAATGCTTCACTATATTCTGAAGTTAAATTGAAATAACCAGTTGCTAATTTGAGAATTGAGCCTGGTGGAGCTGTCTGTAGAAGTTTTAATGTTATTTGACTATCGTGATAAATATTTAATTGGCCCATTTGTATTAAAGGAAAAACCCAAGTATCTATATCTAAATTTTTTTCTACGAAAACAATTTATTTTAATTATATTTTAATTTGAATGTTTTTTTATAAATATATACATAGTTAAATATATATACCTGTTTTTTCAAGATCAAAAGATTCTTCAAATTGCTTCTGAAACAAAATTCTTATACTATATGCTGCTTCTTCTATAAATGTGATAGGATCTTTAAGAGGATCAATTTTCATAGAATTTAATATTGTACTTCCATCTGATTGAAGCACAAAACTAAATTCTCCTACTTTTTGAACTAACTCGTCATAAAAATCACAAAGTTCTTTACAATTCTCAATTAGAAAATAACGATCTTGTCTATTTGTAAAATAATCATTGCTAAGATTAGCACTAAAAAATAAAATTATTATTATTTAAATATTATAAATTTTTTATTTAATAATTAAATTTAAAATAATTTTAAATAATTAAATTATTACCCACTAATTATTATATCATTATCTATCATATACAATTTCATATGCTGTAATCCTATTAATTCATTAAAGCGATCTGGAATAATCATTTTTAAGAATCCACGAAGTTTAGGAGTATGATATAAAAAAATTTGACAACTATGACTATATTTTCCATTAAGTAATGGTTTCAACATTTTACGAGAATTTAATTTACCTCTGGATCCTCTCATAAAATCTAATAAAATTTTAACTTCAACATTACCATTGCTTGAAATTAAAGCTTCATTAATAGCATTTACCTATATATAAAAAAAATTATTTATCATATTAAATCTTTAGTTATTTTTAGATTTTGAAATAAACTTACTAAATTAGATTCTAATTTTCCTGTGCCTAAATATAATGATGCAAATGTTATTCTTTTTCTTGCATTTTTACATTTTTGTACAAGAACAGAATAAAATACATTTGGTTCATGAATTATTTTGATCTGAAATAAATAATTTTTATTATATATTTTATGAATTCCTTTTAAATTAAATACATTTATATATTTACCTCCGATCCTCTTAAGGCAAAACAAGGTGTATTTTTATGTAACCATGTTAATGTATGCAATTCAGAGTTTATTGTTTCAAATTCTAAATCTTTTTCTTCAGTTGTCATAGTAATTGAGGTAATATTTTTTATTATAGATGAACAAGAAAACTTTAACTCTATTTGATTTGATATTAATAGTTTCTTTGTATGAAACCTAAAATTCATTAAAAATATTAACTTTTATTAAGAGCTATTAATAATAATCATAAAATTTATAATACAAAATATAAAAATATAGCAAATGAAATATTACATAACATAATAAAATCATTAAAAATGCATTAATTTCATTCATAAAATCAATCAATTGATCTGATAAAATTTTCATAAAAATTAACAGAAAATAATATAATTAACGTATTATAAAATAATCGTTATTAAATTTATTTGTCAAAATAATTTTCTTTTAGAATTTTTTTTATTATCAAATAAAAACTTGTCAAGTCCATAAGATATGTCATAACATGTGTTAATTCTTATGTCAAATTAACATATATAGGTTAAGCTATTATTGTTTGCTTTAAAAAGAATGAAATTTAATAAGACATCCATATTGCTTGAATCTTTTCAATTCTACTCACCACTTTACAGTTTTAGGAATTAAATTATGCATGAGTAAATTCTTAAATAATAAATCATTAATAAATAAACTTCAAATTGCAAATAATTCTTCCCTCTTAACTAGAAATTGCAACATGCGCAATCTTCTGGACTTTTATCGAATTATATGTATAAAAATATTTGCACGTTTTTTTTTTAATTTAGATTTAAATACAAACATTATTATGATAAATTATAATATATCAATAATTCAATCAATTAATTCCATTAATATATTAAATATTCATAATAAGATTTAATAAAATCTCTTTACAATATAAACATAAAAGATTTATATTACGTCAATATTTTCTAATAATTTGAATTTTAATAAAATATTAAATTTGTTAAATAATTCATTTTTTTAAATTTCATTTTATATATTTTATATTTTTTTATATTTTTAAAAATATAAAATATTTTTATAATTATAATTGTTATGTTAGTTAAAGTATTTTTATAGAACTTATAATAAATTATTAATATATTTAATTCATATAAATTTTAATTCAAATAAAATTAAAAATTCTATTTTTAATATTATCTATATCATGCAACTTATTTAATAATGATTTATATATTTTCAATCACTAGATTGTGAATTCTTATACAAATATTTTATCATATTACATACATATATATTTCTTTTGAAGATGAATGATTGTTGATCGTAAATCACAAAGAGAATAAAAACACACTTTTTTTTGAGATCGCTATTTGAAATATGAAATCCTATAAAACGTAATATTTTTTCTGTGATAATACCTACAAATGCGTGATCTAATGAAAAAGAGATGGAGCTACTTATGTGTTCTATTATGAATACAAAAAAATTTTTCAGCTATTGCGTAATTCAGCATTCGCATTCATAATAGAATATATAAGTGACTCCATCTTTCTTTTATTAAATGTATTTGTAGATAATATTATTTTAACGAAAAATGTGCAGTGGATAGCGACCTGTCAACTATCGAAAAGTCACGTGATTACCCCTCTTAAATACTATATATATATTCTTATATAAATTGCAAAGGAAGCGCCTCTTCACGGAGATACTTGGAATTAGTGATCGATAGAAAATAAAGTGTCAGAGGTGATCGTGGAGGATTCACATCGAAATAGATATAAAAAATGGATTTAAATGTTAAAAAATTAGTAAAAGATGCTGGTGCTGCACTTAGTAGGGTTGTGCAGGTAAGATGTACTTGATATAATAATTGAACAGATTTTTGTTGATAAAAGAGTATATTAATTAAAGTACTTGTAACTGAACGCTGTCACTTCTGACATTTTATATCTTTTTCAGCGAGAAAAACATTTAAATAAAATAAGCATCACTTGACACTTATTATTTTATTTATATTCTATGAAATAATTAACTTTTATTTGCAAAATATTGTATATTTATTTGTTATTTTTTATCTATATATTAAAATTAATTTTTGAAATATAAGGTTAGTAAATATATCATTTTAATGATTGTTTGTGTTCTATATTTTTTATAGAATTTTATTTCCTTACTTTTTATATTTATTATAGAATTACTTAATTTTAAATAATTTCAGAGAATACAATATATGCATATTAATTAATTAATCATTTAATGACTCAGAATATATCAAATAAATGTAGATGACTAAGTAAAACTGTTATCTATTTTAAAATTAATATCATCATAATTTAATAAACAAATATATTTTAAGAAAAATATTATAAAATATTATAAAAAATTGATATATGACAATATAAAACATTAATTATAATATATATAACATAAAATAATATATATATATATATATATATATATACATAAAAAATTATAAATTATTATTATAATNATATTTTTTATTATAATTTATTATAATAATTTAATAATAAATTATAATAATAAACCATCATATAATTTTTAAAATCTTTTTTTTAGTTAACAGAAGAAACATTAGGAACATCTGAAAAAACTGAATTAGATGCACATTTAGAACATCTTGCAGATAGAGCAAATGCAACTAAAACATGGACTGAAAAAATTCTTAGGAATATGGAAGCAGTACTTACTCCAAATCCAGGTAATATAAAAAAATTATATGATAAATTATATTTTGCATATAATAAATTTGTTATAGGCAATAGAATTGAAGATTTTTTTTATGAAAAGATTGATAAGAAGAAACCTAACAGATTGAGTAATCTAGAATATGTAGGCATGGATATGATAGAAGCAGGAAACAATTTTGGTCCAGGAAATGCTTATGGTTTGCATAAATATTAATTTTATTTTTTGATTATTTTGTAATTTTATTTTTTCTTTATTTTATTGTAAATATTATAAAAATTGTTATTTTAGGTAGTGCATTAAATAAAGTTGGACAATGTCAACAAAAGTTAGGACAAATTGAAAGAAGTTTCATTAAAGATGCAGCAATTTGTTATATACAACCTTTAAGAAAATTTTTAGAAAGTGAAATGAAAACTGTTACTAAAGAAATGTCAATATTGGAAAATAAGCGGTATATATTTTATTTTTTCTGCATATTTAAATGTTCAGTATTAATTAATTAAATTATTATTTATAATATTTATAATAAATATAATTTATTATTATTTTTAGATTAGATTTAGATGCATGTAAAAATCGAGTAAGAAAAGCAAGAAGTATGTTGGGTCAACAGAGTGTAAGTTTTATCATTTGTTATTTTAAAAATTATATATGTTATATATGTTTACAATGTGTTTTGTCCTATATATTGCTGCATATCATAGGAGTCTGGGGTATCTCCTGAAGTATTACTTGATCAGGTATTAAAGGAGTTGATACCTTCAGTGATTTAAAATTTATAATAAAACCTGAACTTTCTTGAATATATTTGATATTGTTATGATGAAACTTTTAAAATCTATATATATATATATATATATATATATATATATATT